CCCGACCCAAACTCATCGGTTCTCGATTCGGATACCCGTTCGGGTATTTAATTTATGAAGAACCGCTCGATTCGGTTCGGTTCGGGACTTTTGGACACCCCTACTCATATTCTCTTCTTCACAGTCAAACCAGCCGAGGTTTATGAATAAGTAGAGATAAATATAGTAGCATCTCTAAGATTTTTATGAAGTGTAGAGAGCATTTTTAAATTCAGAGAGTCAAAAGTTTTATACACTTCCAACGAAGTTTTATAAACGTATTTTCTTACCGCACGTTATTCAATAAAATAATATTACACGCAATCCAATTTTTTATTATTATTTTTAACCATATATTGTTCATTAATTTACTATTTCAAAATGTATTCTAAACGAAAAATAGTGATCAAATAAGCCCTTAAAAGTCGAGTAGAATAATGCTATTTGTACATTCTTTGCTTTACATGAAGTTTGACATTGTGTGTATATTCAAAAACAGTTTGGAGGGACAGTGTGTTAAATTCAAAAACTGTCCAATGTGATAGCGCCACGTGGAACAATGTAAAACTTGATGTGAAACTTAATGTACTTGTAGCATGATTCAAGTCGAGTAATGCTATTCATCCCCACATTTCAATGTGACATTAAATGATATGTGAAATTAAATAAGTCATTTAATTTCATATTTTATTTAACCTATCATTTAAAAACGAATAATGCTAAGTGTACACAATTTTTTACACAATCTTTTACACCTCTCTCACATGGAAGGGGGCCCACACATAATAAAATAATCGTGGACCCCCCTCCATGTGAGAGGTGTAAAAGATTGTGTAAAAGTGTGTGTGTACATGTAGCATTACCCTTTAAAAACACATAAATTGTGTTTCCATCTCCACTGGGGATGAATAACATTACTCTTAAAAGTCTCTTAAAGACGGCCTGACAACTTGATTTTGGTTAGTGTGTCGTTTTCACAATTTGGAAATTGTTACTAATGTCTGAAACAAAAGAGTTCGAGAACACCAACTTACTATTCATGAGTGAGACACGAGCTCGAGAACACCAATTTGTACCACATAAATAAACACTTGCATGGCAATATTCAATCACAATTTCTGTATGGGAAGGTTCCTCATGACTTGGCCACAATTTGGTGGTCATTTTTTTCAAAAAGTATTATTTGAATAGTCAATTTTTGGAGAATATATGGTTAAAAATTTTGTTCCAATTGCCAAAAAGTTAAAAAAAATCTGAAAAAAATAATTTTACCATACC